TAAGAAACAACAGGTTATCAGTAGATCTTCTACTGAAGCAGAATATAGGGCTGCTGCTAATGCAGTCTGTGAGGCCCAATGGTTATCTTACATCTTTTCTGATTTACATATACCTATTTCTTTACCAATTATTATTTACACTGATAACAAATCTACCTATCATCTTGCTCATAATCCCATTCAACATCAAAGAACCAAGCACATAGAACTGGACTGTCATTTAGTTAGAGAAAAAATTAATTCTGGATTGATTACTTTGATTCATATTAAGAATAATTTTCAACTTGCAGATATTTATACAAAACCGCTTGGAAATCCTTTATTCAGCCAGTTTGCAGTCAAGATGAACATGTTAGACATCCATGCTCCTCTTGAGGGGGCGTATCAAGAATAAAGAACCTGGACTGGATTTGCTTAGCTTTATAGTCTTGGGCCTACATATTATCTTTGGGCTTTATTGTATATTATCTAATAATGTATAAATACCCTGAGTAGTTTGTAAATAAGGCTAAGACAATTTTCATTCGATCAATCTATCAGCTCTCTTCTTCTCCAAGAAACTCTCTGTAACCTTTGTTCATCATCAATTTAATCTGTTTCCTGAGAATTAACTTTCACAATTATGTATATATATTAATTATTGAAAAATAGTATAGAAAATAAGAAACGAATAGAAAAAACGAATAGAAGAAATGCAAGAAGGATGGAAACGAACTGGTGTTATTATCGTGTATGGAAGGAAAAAATATTTAAATAAGGTATGCACTAATAGAATGATGGGATTGACACTTGGCAGTATATCATCCGATATGAATATTAATATAAATAAATACTCATACCATGCGTTATGATGCATGCTATTTGGAAGCTAATTATGTGTCACATACTCCCTCCCTAACATTCATATATTCTCACTTTCCTTTTTTGGACGTAACATTTATATCTTCCCATTTCTAAATCTTTTCATCATATCCTCAATAATTTAAAAAATTATACACTACTACACCTACTTTTTTTGGATTTATCCTTCATTCCATCACATTATTTTATCATATTCCCATCATACCCTCAATAATCCATACCTCATTTCACTATTCTTAATCTCACCCACTTTGGAAGTGGGAAGATATATGTGATACGGAGGGAGTATATTTTTACTCTCTTCTTCCCGTTAATATTGCCTCATTTTACTTTTTTGAGAAATCTCACTAAAGTTATCTCATACTACGTACAAAATTTAGCAAATTTTGTGTGATTTTAAATCATTTTTACTTTATCAATTAATATCAATCACATAAGCACACTTTTCTTAATAACGGTGTCACCCCCTTTTCTTCCCAATATTAGTGTGATGGAGGTAGTAATATATAAAGAGAGAATTCAATTCAAACGAAAACACCATCTTAGGAGAAAATGCAAATGATTCTGGAGCATTTAGAATTTGGGATTTGTGCATTATGCAATACAAAAATGTGCATTATAATAAATTAGAAAAATTGCATTAGTTTAATCACTTCCTTTTTCCGCCTTGTCATAGATCTCCCCTTTCCTATTATGGCACCTCCAAGAACTCCGAGCTGGTTCCGCCACTGCTTGTTAGTTTTTTAGTTCCATTTTGCATTTCTTATTTTTCTTTATCTTTTTTTTTTGCCTTGTAACTTCTTTCATTTCTAATAAAGTTTTGCATTTTTTTTAAAGATAACTAATTTGAATAGAATCAAGTTTTTTCATGTAGTCCATCAGCGAATCGAGTTGCTCACTCATTGACTAGAGGCTAGAGCAATCAATTCTTTGTCAAGATCGTCAATTTTGGTTTCATATTACCCTAGTTTTGTATTCAAGGATTTGGAGTTTGATTTGTTAAATGTACTGTTATGTAGTTCTTTAATTTGGTTTGCTGAAAAAACATAAAGATGAAGATACTTAATGTTAGAGCCGTATAATAACTACAGTATTATTACGTACGGCCTACTAGCCATATAGTCTATACGGAGTATGTAATAACGTATTAACAGTCCATTATTTTTTCTAATTTTGTTACATTTTTAAAGATGTATATGTATTTGATGCGTGCTAAGGCAAGAAGTATTGATAGTTACCGGAGGAAATTTCATCATGGCATGCATATCAGCATATACGACTTTGGTAGTTTGGTAAGAGTGTCTTTACCTATTATCATATGTAGCAAGTGTGATTAATGCATTTCCTCCTCTGCTAAAAATAGCAACACCTTTACCTATTTCAGAGAATTATGAGGTACGGTAGTCTGTAGCTTTTAAAACCTCTAGCAAAGAGTTTATTTCTAAATTAATGAAGGTTATGATTGCTAGCTTTGGATGTGAGGATAGTTTTAAAATAGGAGCTGAGATGGTGATGCATGTATATGGCACTAATAATGAAGCTAATAAATGATGAATAAGTATGGGAGAAGAGATGCGATCTAAGAGTTGGCAAATATAGTACTCCCTCCGTCCCTTAAAACGTTGTGATCTTTCTTTTTTGGGACGTCCCAAAAAACTTTGTTACATTTCTATTTAATCAATTATTTTGTGGTTCTTGTTATTTCTCTCTCCTCTGCACAAACCTCAATCACACAGTTTTTACTTTATATTCTTCGTGCCGACCGACTTTGACAAAGTTTTAAGGGATGGAGGTAGTATTTAATTAAAATAACGTAACATCAATATTGAGTGTTGCAAAAGCATCCTAAGGGGATAAGCTAGGGTACTTTGCATAGCCAATAGCCAGATGTATGTTTTAAGGATATTTTTAAGGATATGGAAACAAACGTTCGTACATGGGAATAGAACATGGTGACATGGTGACATGGGTGGGTAAATGTTAAATAGAGAACAAAAGGTTTTGATGGAATTCCTATAGGAACAACCGTGCAGATATGGATTATATTAACACAGTTAGTTAAGTTTTAGAGGCTTGTGAGGAAAAAGAGGGTTTCGTAGGAAAATTCGCATGGATAAATGGAAAAAGCATAGATGTCTAGTAATTACAAGTATATGAAGATGCATTCTTTTTTAATTGTAATAATTTGATAATTTGATTTTTACGTTTGTTAATATTTAATTTTAACTGTAATTCTGTTTCATTTACGTACTAATAATAAACATTATAAAGTCTTACGAACAGGGACGGATCCAGGATTTCGAGTCAAGGGGGCGAAATTTTTTCATTAGTGTAGGGAGTGAAAAAGTTTCGCTAGTAAGCAGAACGGGAAAAAAATCACTAGTGTAGCGGGACGAATTTTTTCGCTAGTGTAGGGCTCTGTGGCTAATTTTTATTTTAAAAGTTCCATTAGTACATACTACATACACGATGACAATTAAATCTATTATATTCTAATTCTAATTTTAGACAATGAAAAGATAACTTTGATTTAATAACTATAAGTGTTCCAGAAAAAAATATTGATACATTAAAGCTTAAGAAATGGCAAATTAAAGGATAATTATTTGAAAATAAGAAAGGATATGATATACATAGTATAACATTTTATGATATTATTTGAAAGTAAAGTGGTTAAAGTTAAGGGTACACATCAATCAATGCTTTTTAAGTAACTTATGTCTTGTTTAACCACATGAATCTTAACAGGATAAAGAATTGGTTTTTGAATTGAGATTTTTTTCTACCAAGAAGGGTATTTGTGGGTCAAGATGAGTTTTCTTAATATTACAATAGTAGTATGAGATTATTATACTTAGAATAGTATGATACGTAGTAATATTAATTCATATATATATATATATATATATATATATATGGTGCATATTATATTTGTATTTATGCTAAAATAAGCTAAAGTATTATCGATTCAACAAATTGTTTTTAGAAAGTAAGGGGTAAATGAAATGTGTAATTTAATGTCAACAAACATTTATACTATTTAACTACTGTATCTGATATTCAATATCTTTTGATATCTTACAAAATCGAGTACTAATTATCTAATAATGATAATTAAACATTACAAAACAAAGAATTTTTTGGTACCCTAAGTCTTAAACAACGAGTTCTATTGTTTACTTTTTTAAGTTATGTAAATTATTTTAGATTCTACTTCTTTTAAATCTCCAATTTAGCATTGCATTATGTGAGCCTGTATATTAATTTTGAAAACTAAAAGTTAAGGGGGGCAAAAACATATATACCTAATTAAAGTATGAAAATTTTATGAAAATATTATATATATATATATATATAGTAGAAAAATTTGGAAGTCCAAAGGGGGCGATCGCCCCGCGCCCCCCTAGGATCCGTCCCTGCTTAGGAATTGTCTCTTCATTTTTATGTGTTTGTTTCTTTCATTTTTCTTTTGTGGAAGTCTCTTCATTGGTGACGTACGTTCCCCTCCCATTATGATTTGTATCTTATGAGTTTTTTTGCTTTCATTTCTTTTTTTTTTGTAAGTTTCTTCATTGATCTCTCTTGTCAATGAATCAAATAATATTTCCAGTTATGAATCAAATGCTCACGATCTAGAGATACAAGTCATAAAAATATCATCAGTACAAATTAGGAAATTCACTTATAATTTGACTTTTATGAAATAAAGATTCATGTTAAGTACTTAATTAAGAATTTAAGATTAATAAATAAATACATATAATAAAAAAGAGAGTATGTATATTGAATGGAGGATATGATTTATTCTGGACTATTTAACTATGGTCAGATGTGATCTAAATTGGTCTGATATATGTCTGATTATGTATATTTTATAATTGTGGAAGTCTAGTAAACCGATCTAGTCCAAAAATGACAAGTGTTGTCTAGTCAAGTGGTCATTTTAAGTCTAGTCTGTTATTGGACTGAGATTAGTACACATCATATAGAGAAATGAGTTTGGAAATATTCACATGATAAATAAGCTAAGGTCGAGTCCGCCACGTATAGTACTACGTATCCATGTATGTTAATTACGTAGTATCTTTTTCTTCATCTATAAAACACCTTCCAGTGGAAGGCTTCAATTCTACCTTATACAAACGACACTCCACAATACAAATCTTTTTCTTCAAGCCTTATATAAATCTTCTCGTGGTTTAGGTCTTTCTTCATCTTTTTCTTCACTGCACTCCACAAATCACTACCTCTTCTTGCACTAGTTTTACAACTCCTTTGAATCTCTTCACAGTCCTTTCCTTCAAGGCTTGAACGTCCTTATAATGGACTTTTGTCTCAGAATGCTTTTAGTCATCACACTGATCACATCCATGGCCTTGACAAAAGATAGTAAGCATATATCTTATTTTTGCTAATTCTTTTTCTTATTGTTTACTTACTTGTAAGATATATACTTGGTATATATTTAACATTCTTAACACACGTCTACTTCTTTTTAGTGAGTGCGGAGAGGCTACTACAAGCTCATGACCCATTATCATCACTTGCAAATGGCAATAATAATGGTTATTAGTAGTGTTAATATTAATTAATTAATTATTCAAATTGGTGGGTTGAAATAAATCTCATTTGGTGTATTGATAACTTGAGCACTTTGTATAGGTTATTCTCAAATCTCCACTGGTCCTTTCTCCCCAAGGGTAATTATAATTACATCGTGCCTTTTTTGCTTGGTAAATTTGGTGTAGGCATGAGGAAAAAAGAAGATCTTTTAACTTATTAATTTTATGGGTCATCTTTTTTAAAAAATTGTCAGGTTAGTATGGAGGCGAGTTGCAACATCAACATCGTCTTCAACCTACTGATTGACTGCGTTCCCTTCTTCTCGGGGACATCTTCCATTCCAGCAGTGGCATGTTGCTCTGGAGTTGAAGTGGCAGTAAAAACAGAAGTCGATTGCTTATGTGATGGCCTCACTGATCTCTTGACTCATTCTGGGTTGGTGTTTAATGTCTCCCGGGGACTTGATCTCCTCAACGCATGTTTCAGTCCTATATCTTACTCAATCATCTCCAACTGTGGTAAGTGTATTATTAATATTACTGCTGGCTAGTACATAGTTCCTCAATTAAATTCCTTATTGAACTTTCATACGGCCTCCGATTTCCACATTTGAGCTTTGGTCTACCGTCTACACTTGGGAAATTATTTTCGTATTATAACATTGTTAAATTCAACCGTTATAAACTTATAATACCAAAATAATTTCATAATTATATATTTTTTGGAGGGAAAATCGCACTTTTGGTCCCTGAAATAGTCACAAAAATGAAATGTCGGACCCGTATTCCCAAGTTTGTAAATGTCGTCCCTCAATTGCCATAAATGTTGTAAATGTGTTTCTTTTTGGGGTGAAATATACAATGTGGGCGAGAGCACATTTCACCCCTTAAAGGACCACATTTACAACAATTTGAACAATTGAAAGGTGATATTTACAATATCATAAATACGGGTCCGACATTTCATTTTCGTGACTATTTCAGGGAGTAAAAGTGCGATTTTCCCTTTTTTGGATAATTGATGGTCAAATTTAACAAAGTTTAACCAAAAATAACTTAATTGTGGAACGATGGATGGGAGTATATATTATTGTTACATACTCAGTAATTCCTATCATTTATTATATAAATAGAAAAATATTAAAATAAGTATAAACTAAGTATATAATAAAATCGTTCATTAGTGCATGCATGGAATTATAAACCTAACAAGTTTTGTTTTGAAACCTGATTAATTGTAGTGAGCCCCACACCTCCTGCTCCTGTTCATCATACCCCTGGTAAGATATTAACTACGTAGTAATTATTTCTCTGGTTTCAATTCGAAACATAAATTAAGAAAAGTTTACACTCGATCACTATGACTTTGATCATGACTTCCGCCTTTATAAAACTACAGTGGTTCCAACTCCGACTCCCAGTCCTATTACTCCTCCTCCTACTCATGGTAAGACACTTCATATTGTTTTTTTTTGGATGAAAAAGACACTTCATATTGTAACTATTATTAATGCTAAGGTCAATTTCTTATTAATTTCTTTAATTGTGGGATATATTATTGTTTCACTCCCTATCATTTATTACTATGTCTATAAAAAGAAATTAAAGTGCATTAGTGCATCGAAAGCCTGACACGTTTTATTTTGGGAAACCTTATTTAATTTCAGTGAGCCCCCCACCTCCTACTCCTATCCATCCTTCCCCTAGTACGACATTAACTACCTAGTATGGAGTAATTATTACTCTTTTCAACTTTCGATTGGAATAAACATAAAGTGTAGTTTACATACTTTATGACTTTGACTATGATTTCCTCCCTTTTTTAAAATTACAGTGGGCCCAAATCCGACTCCCAGTCCTATACCTCCTCCTCCTACTCCTGGTAAGACACTTGATATAATAATTAAGGCTAGTGAGGTTGGTTACTATCTTAAATAAGGGCTTGTTTGCCATCAATTAAAAAAAAGTGATTTTGACTTTTTTTTTTAAAAAAAAATCACTTATTTTACCAAACACTATCAACTTTTACTTCCTCGGTTTTCGTGTAGAATATACTTTTTACTTTTTCTATTACACAAAAAACACTTATTATACCAAACACTACCAATTTTTTCTACTAATCACTTTTTCCCAAAAAGTGCTTTTATTTAAGCACAAGTGGTTGCAAACAGAGCCTAAATGCAACATATGAAATTTTACACTATTCACATGGTCTACTTTGAGTACGTTTTATTTATTAATGTATGAATATATTTTTATGAAAAAAATATTGTTAAGTTTGTCTCATTGTAAATTTTCAATATCTAATTTTTTTAATTTTTTTACTAACATAAATATATATATTAATGGTCAAAGTTGTGTCTCGACAAGTTTGAAATATTGACCGTTGCATTTATTTAAGAACGGAGGAAGTATTTCATATTATTACGCCTACGAATCATCGTTTATATGTTAACGCGTAGGGTTTGTAATTTTGTATTCTGATAATTTCTAAACGTTCAAGTATGTATTCTAGAACTACGGAGTATATAGATAGTAGTAGTATATAGTTCCATAATAATTACATAGGAAAAATATTACTCCCTCCGTTCCTAATAAAACTTCCAAATAGATTTGGCATACAGTTTAAGATGGTGGGTATTGTGTGGTGGAGAGTTGTGCAGAGGCAAGAGAAATGTGTAAGAATTGCTGTGAACCACAAATTCTTTACTAAAAAGGGAAAGTGGAAGTTTTAATTGGGACGGACGAAGAAGGAAAGTTGGAAGTTTATTTAGGGACGGAGGGAGTATCATTAAGCATGAAACTTATCACTTATCAGCACAGGAAAATGTGTTCATAAGTTCTTTAAAAACAAGTTACTTATATAAACAATTCAATATAAACTAACGAAACATGCGTAGCTGTGAACGGTGAACCTTTAATGATAATTGGTATTGATAAATGAAAATTACTTTTGAATTCAGGTGATACTAGCTTGGTAAATCCAACTTTTGTAACGGCTGACATTGGAGCAAGTAATATATACTAGCTACCTCCGTTCTTCTTTAATTGCAATATTGAACTTTTTGCATTATTCACATATTCAACTTTGACTTTATTTTATTTACTAATGTATTATAAATTAAAATTTTTTAAAAAAATAATACTTGGTAGGTACATTCTTCTCATTTTAAAATTTCAAAATCTGAATTTTTTAATTTTTTACTAATAAGAAATACGGAGTATAATATATTAATGGTCAAACTTGTGTTTTGATAAACGTGAAAAGTGAAATATTGCAATTAAAAAAGAACAGAGGAAGTATGTGTATATGTATACGATCAATTAAGTTGATCGAACAAGTTTAATTAGTTTTTTTATAGATAGTTTAATTAGTGTTTTTTAAATAGTTTAATTAGTTTAAATAGTTTAATTAGTGTTTTTTAAATAGTTTAATTATTGTTATACTCCCTCCGTCTCCCTTATATTGTCCGTTTTATCTTTTCGGGAAGTCCTACTAAAATTGCCCCATATCATATTTGGTAAAGTTTGTTTCATTCACACAAACTCACTTTTCTTAATAATTGTGTCACCCTCTTCCGTCCCAATATAAAAGGGACGGAGGTTTACCATTATTGTACACACTATATATTTAACATTTGAATTCAATGTACGTAGTTTGCTTGGGGGGGAATAAGGCAGCTTACTATTACGCCCCAGGATTCGGCAAAGGCGCTGAAAATTGGGTTGTGTATCTTCCTGTAAGCTAACTAGCTACCATTGTTTAATATATACTTCCTTCTCTTTATTTTTGGGCTTTAAGCATCACTCTATTTATTCATAATTATTACTGAAACTAATTGATGTCATATTTATGCTGCTGTGTAAAATGTAAATAATCTATTAAATTCTAGGGGGGCGGATGGTGTAACAATGTTACTGCCTGCGAAATATATACTGATACTAAAGGTGTGGGCTTGTCTCCAAGAGCAATTCCCTTTACTGCTATTTTGGATTCTGATAAGGAGAAAAATCCTGGTAAATATTTTGAAACTAAGTCATCTAACCCCATGTAAACTATATAAATATTTTCTCTTTTATGTAAATTATCTATCATATTCTTCCTGTGATGAGGAGTTGTATTTTTTTTTAAACCGTGCAGATTTCTATGATTGGAATAGAGTTTCTATTCGGTATTGTGATGCATCGTCATTCACTGGAAATTCTGAGATAACAACCACAAATGTACGATATAATATATACGAATTCAAATAATATATACTCTGTACTTCGTATATACGAAGTATTAAGATAGCTCTTTCATTACTTTACTCCCACACTTAGAAATTAGAATTACCACCAAAACGTACACGAACGTCTTAATTACCGTTTTGGAGGCCAAGTAAAGTTGGCCATACATAAATATTGCCTCGTTCAAATAGATGTAAAATGTTGAATTTTACACTATTTACAAGTTGTACTTAGCTATGACTACATTTAATTTATTGATGAATTAGAAATTTTGTTTTTGAAAAGTGTTGTTAACTAAGTCTTATTTAAATTTTGAAAACCTGAATTTCTTAATTTTTTTACTACTAAACAAAGAAATATATTAATGGACAAAGTTGTGTTTTAGCTTTAGCTACACAATAGGTACATTAAAATAGATATATATTTGTTAATCACTTAAACTATATATCTTGCAGGGTACTAAGCTTTTCTTCAGAGGAGGAAGAATTTTTAGTGCTGTTATGCAAGAGCTGTTGCAAAAAGGAATGGGAAATGCGAAGAATGTATGCATTTACTTTTTATATCGGATATAAATATAAATATAGTGCTAAACATGATTACTACGTTACATCATAATTGGTATAGTATTACTTATCTATAATACTTCGTATAGATTTGAAGATTCTTTTGGCATACATATAGCTACCTTTGTTGATCAAGTATATATATTTATGTACATTACTCTTCGATTAGTATGCCTTTTTTTATTATATTGTTTATTTGTGTGTATGCGATGTGAAAGTACTTTGTAATCTACAAACAACTTTATGCTTATTTTGCTAAAAAAAATTGTAGGCACTTTTGGTTGGTGGATCAGCAGGGGGAGTCGCAACAACCATATACTGTGATAGATTTCGAAATTTCTTCCCATCCAATTCTAGAGTAAAGTGCTTATGTGATGGAGGTTATTTTTTCCTGGCGTAAGTTTGTTACACTTTTAGTATTAAATGTTATGATAAAGTGTCCTAATAAATTTAATGAATTTGAAATATTCTTATAAATCCCTAACACGTGTATCATTTTAACAGGAAAAACCATATTCAAGGAAATACATTCCTATCAATGTTTGAGGGCTTAATAAATTTACATGTATTCTTCCTGAATCTTATCCTCTACGCTCTAGCTATACCACACATGCATACAGTATTATATGCATTATATTCTTATTGTGTGATTTCATTTTGTTTTATTTGTTTCTACGTAGTACACTCACATTGGGAAAAAATCATTTTAAAAGTGTGTCTTCGCGTGAAATTTGGGAGTATTAACCAATAGAACTTGTAAGCTAAAGTAACTGACAAAAAATACATTATACGTAGTAACTTATAACTCAACGATCAATAAAAAAATTAATTATAGCTTCCTAGTGATAAACTACGGAAGTACTACGTATGAAACATGTATAAAAATTCGATGATGATAACTAGTAACACTTGATACTCTGTATGACTATGAGTTTTATGTTTATTGATCCATAATTGCATTCAACGCATTTGTTTTCGGATTCACTATTAATTCGTTAAATTGAACTTATAAAGTCAAATATATAACTTTCATCAAAAGTGCGTATAGGTTCATGTGATAAATTAAGTAATTAAAAGACAAACATGTGACTACCATGAAACCAAAGAATAACCCTTGATATCATATATTTTGTATTTTTAGTGAGTCGTTAATATATTTAAAACACTTTTTTTCTAATGAACTATTAGTTCGTTAAATGTAACTTGTATAGCCATACATATTGTTTTCATCTTCACTTCATAAAATTTATACCCCTTTTAATTGGTTTCAGAGATCTGAAGATATGCTGCCCAAATCTTGCACTACAAGACTAAGTGCACCGATGGTAAGTATCCAAATTAAAGAAAGAATTAAGTACTTAATTGATATTTTCTCATCTCTTCTAGATTAACTCCCTCTATCATATTTCATGATGGACCGCTCTTATGTATTGGATACCATATAAAGTTATACTCCGTTCAACGTAATATTGCAAGGAAAATTGGAGTAAGAGAAATAATAATATTTTTAAAATTTTGCAGTGTTTTTTCCCGCCAAATTTACAGGAAGACGTCAAAACGCCCATCTTTTTCCTGATGTCGGCATTTGATAGAGTCCAGGTTTGAATTATCAATCATGTTGAATTCATGAATTGCCCACTCCAACATATAATTCAATTATGAATTTAATAAACTTACGTTCTCGCATTAAATAAGTATCGTTTGTCTTGCAATTTTTTATGTTTATATACAAACTATACTGATAAAAATAGCATCGTATGTGGGTGTGATTAACTGAATTGGTCGTATAATATTTTTTAGAAGTTGTTAAAGTAATATAACTTAAACCCTAATACTTATTGTTTGAAAAATTGATTTGTTATTAATAAAGAATTCAGCCCTTTCACTACTGTTGAGTGTAGCACTTTTTAAGATTGTACGTGTAGACACCTGCCTTTATATGGTTAGTTGTATTCGAATTGTTTTAACTATAAAAATTATAAGATTGTCATATTTTTGACACAGATTCACTAAAATTCATACTCCATATAAGATTTGACACTGATATCTTGAATTTGGAGGAAATTCCCAAAATGCGGGAATTTTTTATCTGACACGCCAAATACGGGTGTCGGAATAGAGTGTTCCGACTACGGGTTGGGATTAAATTTCCTTGAACCACCTCCTCACGTCAGAATTGGTAAATCCGACTAGGGGCAACACCATTTTTTAGAAATAATATATCCCACAATGAATTAAAATCCAAAAAACACATGCACCATACCGATGAATTAAAAAATAAAATAAAGTAAAACTAAAATGCATATTTTTCATTTTAAAAAATATGAAAGGAATTTTAAAAAAAAACTTTTAAATTTGGAATTAACAATTCCTGACGGGAATTTAAAACTGTATTTCAAAAACCTTTTAAAATAAAAACTTTTACAATTTAAAAAAATTTACTTTATTTAAAAAAACTTTATTCGGAATTAACAATTCCACCACCAATTAAAAAAAAACCTCTAGTCGGAATTAGCATATCCGACTGTAGGAGAACCTATTTTTTCCAGCCCTATCCTCTAGTCGGAAGAGGCAATTCCGACTCCCACTTTTTGAGAAAACCTAAATTTTTCCCTGTATTTTGGCAACACATGTTGAAGATTCCCGTATTTTGGTAAAACATTTTGACACAAAGTTATTGATTAATTAGTGTCAAATTTGTATCAATACCGTAATATTTTTATAGTGTTTGGACAATATATAATTTGATTAATTATACGGAGTACATAAAATTAATTTCGCAAAATAGTAAATTTTGAATTTTTATTATTAAGTTTGATCGAAGCCTGAAAGAAATGGGAAAATGTGAATTAAAACTTTTATACGGACTATATACTACTCATACAGTTTTAGTTTTAGACTTTTAGTAGTAATATATTCCACAGTTTGAGTGGAATATATTACTAGTCAGTACTCACAGAGTCACACCATTCACACAGTGAAATTAATCATCTTCTAGTATAAATTCTTTGTATAACGCTAGCTAACACAGATCTATACTCTTATCTTATATTATACCTTTATACTACTAAAAGGGTAACTTTATTATAAGTCAACGGTCATAGAACCTTTAAAATGGGTTGAAGTCCTCAGTAGTTAACTAGGAAGCAAAAATGTGAATCAAGAAAGAGTTTGAGTTAATTATTTCAATAAAAGTAAAAAGAATGAATAGTATTTTGAATTAGATGATATTTGTGGATATATAGACTAATAATCCTATTTAATTTCAGTTCCTATTTTCTGGAAAAAGTAATATGTGTGTGTGTGTGGTGATTCTATTTCGAGAAACATGTAGTGTATTTGTCTAACATGTTTCTTATATTTCTATTGCAGATACAGTATACTTTGTCAATGGATCTTACTGGTTGCGTTCCTATGGCCAATTGCTCGGCGAATCAAATTAAAGCCTCACAAGGTTTGGATTAACAATTTTGTTCATCAATTATGTTTAAATTGTATATTACTATTAACTAATGTAATAAGTACAGTGTATTATTCATAATGGAGTTACATGGGTGCATATATAGAGACTTAGATCAAATAATAAATAACTTTCTTATTGTAACAAATGCATTTTTTGTCAATTATATTGCACATTATTCATGAAGCACTGCTACATGCACTTTAAGTATTGATAAAAGTGCATTTTTGAGGAGGGAACACGTGACAATTTTGAAAATAAGTGGCGGAATTTTTTATAAACTTGCAAAAGTGAATTATTTGAATTGAAAAGTGCAATGGAGTATTGCAAAAGTGAATTTTTTGCATTTTGCGTGTGAAAATCCATTTGCATTTCATCCACCCTCTATATATAATATGTATGCATGCTATTGATAAGTCATTTAAAATGATAACCTCTTATATTGCGAATATTTTATGTCAACCATTCATTTTGTTTATAGTGAGTTCATCATATGGTGTCTTTTTTGTAATTGTGCAAAATTAGGATGGATCCTTTTTATAATTATTAACTGTAAAAAATACAAAAATGCCCACTTATATTTTTCCTACCCATTAATTAGAAATGTAAAAGTTGAAGATTACAAGTTCTCATTTATGTACTAGGTATATGTTTTCATGCATTAGAAAGGAGTTACTCGAACTCTCCCCTATAGATAAATATATACACACGTGTTTTAAATTTTAGATCTTCGATCTGAGCTTCTCACCATTCTACCAAAACGAAGCAAAACCTTCTTCAAAGGGTTTCTGATTACTCATCCCTTTGCTCACACTCAAGTAGAAAATGGTACTTGGAACAGCCTAGCTACGGGAACTAATAAGGTATGTTGGAAAGAAATTGAATATATCTAAAGGATCGGGTGTTTTCATATTCAATAAATTTGATATGATTTTAATTTATAAGTTTCTTTTTGGTAGACAATCGCTAGCTTATTTGGAGATTGGTACTTTGAGAGGCAATATGTTGAAGTGATTGACAGTTATCCATGCCCCTACAAATGTCCATAGGCTGCTGCGCTCCTTTTATGATCCATTCACACTCTTTAATGATCCATGACTCTTTAAGTCTTTATCATATGATCTCTTTCGTCAAAATATTTACAACAATGTTTGTATCCATTCTTATACCCACCTTATATCCACCATGTTTGTGAAGTGTTTTTTTTTAAATATGTAATCCTCTGGAAACAAAAATAACTCTTTATTTCACTCTTGCTAACCCGGAAGTATGTTATGATTCCAGTTTATTCTATGGTGTTAAAACTCTAGCTCCTCTCAGTATTATATATGCACACTGATTAATTGGCCGGCTTGTGGACATCCCTAGTTTTTGTTTATAGTAATGGGTTTCAACTTTAAACTATTTTTGTTCATTTAAGATTTTACTCAAACTTTGAAGGTTTTCCCGTAACCACTTTCCACTAAATAACTTTTGTTCCAATTCACACTAAATAAGTACCAAACAGAATGTAAACTTCTCAAATCTGGGAAGTTCTCACTTAAATCATCATGGAAAAACTGATCTAAGCTATGATAGATGTAGTTTCATAGCCTGAGATCAATTTTTTCCTTTTAATCACGTTTTACTCCCGAGAATAATCGTATTTTTAGTATTGTTGTTTATGCCAAAATAAACTAATCTAAAATATATATATAATTGAGTTGGGAATCAAGCAAATAAGATCGAATAAGTATGATTGACAAGATAAAATAAATGGATTTATCTATAATCGATAATTTGAATGTAATATGAATAGCTATGAACTTCAATAGAGAGAATATGAGAGCTCTTTTATGTATATTCGAAACTGAGTGTATGTGTATTCGTGTATCCATGTGTTGATTACATAGAGCCTCTAGCTATTTATAAGAGATGCATTTAATGCACTTTTGTCCGTTGACGACATTTCCCGACCGTTACGACAACATGTCCCGACCGTTACGACGACATGTCCCAACCGTTACGACGACATCAATATCGTCATTATTGCATCATCAATTCTGGTCAGCCCTTTGAGTAACCTATGTCATAATTACAATAATTACTCTAACTATATACATAAAACCGCCCAGAAGTTAAGGCGAATGATACACATGTCGATAAAACCGCCCTTTAATTAGCTAGCATTAATCCTAATGAATGTGTCATTAATTGCCATGGTCAACCCTTTTTGAATGTAGTCCAGGCCGTCAAACTCATGCACCAACAATTGCCCCTTTTTCGAGAAGTTAAGGCGAATGATACACATGTCGATATATTCAGCAAGAACTTGTCGAAAATTTGAAAGTACTGTTCGCACCTTGACTTATCCCATCATGACATGTTGATCAACTTTTTGACTAAGTGTTTCCGCCCTTCTTTCGAATAACCTCTGATCAGATCCGTCTTCTTGACAGAAACAATGAGCTAGAATTTTGTCCCTTTCCGTTCAGAGTTGTGCTGACAAATAGATGACGTAAATTTGCATCATCTCTCATGTTGATGTCGACATTCCAGTTGGAAAAGGGGACATCATCCGTCGTCAAAGATTACAAGTTGGGTTGTGTGAACATAATCCATAACCTGCAAAAACTTTAAATAACGTGTCGTTTGTAATTTTATCAATGTTGTCAACATGAGTGTTTATGATTTGTATCCATGTTGTTCGTAGCGTCTCCTTATTTTTGGGAACTAATGTTGTCACGCTTTTGTTGCGTACTTTTGTAGTTTTGTGTTTGTCTGACTTTGATGTTGTCAGCATTTGTGATGTATGATCTGTCTGTTCGTTTTGTGTAGTTTTGGCCAAAACATGTAGGGTTTCTCGGTCCGTGGCTCATATTTCTCATATGAAAGACTCGAGCTGACCCCACCTTCCCTTGTTGAGGGGATTGTGTTAGCGGTTGTCGCTATATATGTGTATTGACTGTTTTGTGTTTTGTCAACATCCTGCACACAAAGACATTGTCAAAATCTGGCCGTTGGCTTTTAGCCAACGGCCCTCCGATGCTTAAGTTAGTAATTATTATTACAGCGGAGCAAGCATATAAGCTTTTATTTAAGTAAATAGACTCACCAAACCAGTCATCACATACCTGGCCGACGTTGAAGTCGGAGTGCAGGATTTGCACAAATGTATTTGGACACTATTGAAAACATTAATGAATTTGACAAATACCTTTGTGATGAAAAAGCAATCATAGAAAATATTAAATGAAATAAGCCTTATTTCAAACATTTTGTTCGATAGAAAGTTTAAATGGAGTGATAGAACAAATTATTAATATTGGACTTCGATGACGACATGTTTGATACCTGTATCTACTTGTCGGGTTCGACCACTTTGTTGCGTGTCCGTAAGCTTCTGTGCAAAAACTACTTTGGCCGTTGGCTTGAAGCCAACGGCCCTCCGATGCTCAAGTTAGTAACGAATGTGAAGGAAATGCATATTGACTATGTTAATCACATTAGAAATGAAAGGGTTTTAAGTGTACCGCATTCCAGCTCCTCGGCGCTTGCTTACCGTCGACAGATCGCAGCCGATATGCCCCCTGTCCGACGACTTCTGTGATTTCGTATGGGCCCTCCCAGTTGGGACTAAACTTTCCGATTGCCTCATTGCCAAAGGATTTCCTAAGCACCCAATCTCCTTTCTTGAATACTTTATGTTGAGTATGTGGTTTTGTTGATGACTAACCATGCAGGTGGAACAAGGGACAGAACCGCTCCCAGTTCCTTAAGGAACCAAGGACAAGACTATCCTCAGGTACAAATGGACATTATTATTGTGTTGTTGACTAACCATGCAGGTGGAACTAATACTGAACCATATCTAGTTCCGTGATATGGTTTGAATTAATATTGATTACACCTACTTGATTACACCAAATAATATATACGTAATTTGCATTTGAGTGGTCATTTGGGTGATTATTATCTTTCCATACCTAAATATTGTTTAAATACTTTATGGAAAGTATCTTTACTTAATGTGAGTGTATGGTGCATATTTTATTGATAATATACGTAAAATGCTAAGTACTCACTTTAAGTTTGAAAAAGTAATCCTTAGTGGAAATATTAATTGAATATCCTTAGGATCTTAATTAATGAGTGCATCCACTTAGAAAGGAAATTTCTTTTAAAAAAATAAAAGGGTCCATATTAATGCCGTTGCATGATTACTTTTATATGTTAATACCTTTTTGATATTTGACCAAAGCTTTTGGAAAATATAAAAAGGTTTTCTTACCTAATATGCCAAACAAAATAATATCGGATTGATTGACTAAGCTTGTGTTTTGTTTGAGCAAGGCCTTAATACTTCTTGCCATAATTTGTCATTTGTGATTAATTGCTCTAATATATAATTCGAATAAATTGATAGCTCTTTAAAAGGTAACCCATCACCTTCTTGCTTTGAAAAGGTGCAAATATATTATTTCCGTATAAGGTGTTGCTTGAATATATTCCAGATATGCACCTTTGTATTACAAAATATTCTTGAGATCTTTTACTTTGACCAACGTATAAGTAATGCCATGCAAGGAAGGTATTTCAAATTTATCATGGCAAGTCCAAGCATTCAAGAAAGCCAACGAACGATGCTATATAATGGACTGAAGAGTATGCTAACGTGTGGAGTGCTAAACCGAGAAAAATACTTAGAAGAATCATTCAAGAAAAGGATCAAGTCCTTGGCGCCTGAAACTGCCCGCTCGGAGTTCTAGATAGAGTTTCTCTTTTCCCTTTCATATTGTACTTGGAGTATTGAGGCTTAATTGGCTAGAGTAGCTACCTCGGGTTAAGTGTGTGTGAGAGCTTTGTGATAAAGCTGAGAGGCTCTCTACCCGCAAGGTAGAGATGCATAACTCTTCCTAGAGAGGATAGAGTTGGGGAGGCTCAAGGGTAGATTAGGAGAATCTCTCTTGTAACTCTTTCAAAGGCTTGTTTAGTGAAGTTGTTTAAAATTCCTCCGAGGGAGGTCGAGGTTTTTTAATCCCTTTGAGCCAAGGGATTTTTCCTCGTTAAATTCTTGTGCACTTTACTATTTCGCAATTCCCTTTATCCCACACTAGAACTCGGCGAAAAACTGCCACGGTTCCACACACACACAATTCACCCCCCCCCCCCCCCCCCCCCCTCTTGTGTTGCTAACCGTTTTCATCAATTGGTATCAGAGCCGGTCTTCACCACATAAAGGCTAATACCTTGGGAAGAGATCCGGCAAAATGAATACGGTTGACCGATTGGAAGAAGGGTACTCGACTCAACGACCACCATTGTTCAATGGCAAATACTATCAATTTTGGAAGAGTCGGATGGAAAACTTTATCAAGGCCGATAACTACCAGGTTTGGAATGTAATTGAAAGTGGTGATAATGTCATCACAAAGAGAAACGTCGAAGGTAATGTTGTTCCTAAACCTAAAGTTGAATATACTTCTGAAGATTATGAGAAACTCGAGCATAATGCCCAAGCCCTTAAATATTTAATTTGTGGTCTTGGTCCTGCCGAACACAATCGGGTTCTAGGATGCAAGACTGCAAAACAAATGTGGGATTTGCTCGAGGTCACTCATGAGGGAACCTCACGTGTAAAAAAATCTAAGATTGACATATTCATGCGTAATTACGAATTATTCGTAATGAAGCCAAAAGAGTCAATTAAGGATATGATTACACGCTTTACTAACATTATCAATGAGCTTTCAGCCCTTGGAAGAGAAATTACCGTGGAAGATCAAGTGAGAAAGATTTTGAGAAGCCTGCCCCAAGCGTGGAAGCCTAAGACCACGGCTATTGAAGAAGCAAAAGATCTATCCACCATGACGCTTGAAGACTTGACTGGATCACTCTTGACATATGAACTAGGTCTTCAAGAAGAACAAGATGCCGAGAGTGCTAGACGAGAAAGAGGAATAGCTCTAAAGGCTCGAGAAGAAGAAGAGGAATCCGAGAGTGAATCGGATGATGAGATGAGCATGTTTGCAAAACAATTTGGGAGGATGTACCGAAAGTTCAAGAACAACCGTATCAAACAAGGTAAAAAGAACACTCAATCTTTTAATAACCAAGGCTGTTTTGTTTGTGGTTCCTTTGAGCACAGGGCTAAAGACTGTTCACAAAAGAAAAATGACCGGAACTGCGATAAGAACAAGTCCAGTTCCAACCGGAGGTTCAGCGAAGACAAAGGGTTCAAGAGAGATCTCAAAAAGGCCATGATGGCAGCATGGGGAGATTCTTCTGATGATGAAGAAGAGGAAAATGATAAGAACACCGATCATGCGG